TAGTAAATGGGAAGAAAACAAGTGCTCATGGAAAATACTGTCTTCAGACTCCTCCGTACAAAAACTAGGCTCCTCAAGTTTAAACAGAAACAACTGATCCAAAGAAAGCCGTATTTTAAGGTGTGTAAGAAGCAGGTATGTCGTAAAGGAGACTATCTATTGACCGAAACCAGATCTTGCTCATTTCACGTGCCATCTCCTCCAAAGTGTCAGTCAAATGCTTACTCAATTGAAATAAATGACCTAATGGCCAATACGGCAAAATGGGATGCTAAGGTAATGATGTCTGCTAGGATGGCTTGTCAATAAACAACTCCGTGGTGGAAGTGAATCTGTCAGGGGCAAATTTACAGAACTCCATAGGAAAGATCAGATCAGATGTGTTTTTCATTTCCAAGGTAGAACAAACCCGCGAGTCACAAATTCAAATTTACCAACTTAAGAAGTCCTTATAAACATTCTGTACAGTAACAGATCCAGCCGCAGACTTTTCATATTTAGAAAGGTAATGGTAAAATGACTCAAATGTCTCTCAAACACAAGGGACTGTAATCAATGAAGTGGTAGCTCTGAGGTGTTTAGAAAAAGCTAATGAACTAGCTCGTATGTGAAGTCCTATTTTGTTCTACGCACAAAAAGCATTAAGAGTATCTTAGATCTGCACCTTTGCTTTCCTTAGTCTTCACGTTAAAACTTGCTGATACGAATTAAAATAGCTTTAAAAAACAAACAAAAGCAGCCGGGAGAGCTAAGGATAATAACAAAATTTGCAAGGGGAGAAAAAGACACCCAAAAGAAGCAAAGAGAAAGCAGGTCAATCATGCTGATCCTCAAGCTAGACAAGCATTTCAGGTATGGATACACACATTCTGAAGCAGGGAAAATGATTTATAAATAAATTTCATTCTTGGGTGATTATTCTGTGGTTTAAAATTAGCATTCCATTACTCCCTGTTCCCGTCCTTTCTTCTTCAGAGAGGCACAGTCAAGACAACACAAACACTTTTTTGATCAGATTTCCTAATATTCTGTCTTTCCTACCAAATCCAAACTAACCATAAATTTTAGCCACCTGTCTACAATTTGCTAGGTGGTTCGTGTCATCAAGTTGACAAAAAACCATATCCTTAAATACATGTATAACCAACCACAACTACAACAGATCATAGGGGAGATGCAAGACATGAATTACTGCTGGAATAATAAAGGAATAAAATTGTTATTCAATAAAAATGTGGAGGGAGTACCACCGTATGGATCTGCTACTCAAAGTTTCAGGTCTATTTCACAGAACGATTTATGTCTGTAAGGCAGAAGAGTTGTATTTCACTCAGTTTCTGTACATTTCTGGATTCCAGTCTGGACATTCTATACCCTGGATTAACTTTGGGAAGTTTTATGAGAAATAGAGCAAAGGATCAACTTCTTAAGGGTCACTTCAACACTTTGGGAAATTCGTATTACTGGACAATAGAGAGCTTCAGGAAAAGGGCAGGCCTCGGGCTTTCAAGAACGTTTTACTTCATTTTTAAGTCCTCCTTTTCTCTGTTCTGCACCCATACCTCACCTGCAGGGAATGGAGCGACACTGGGCCAACACTCTGTATGAAGGAGGAGCCGCTGTGGACGGGCATGAGGTGAGAGGGTGATACTAACAGAGCACTGGGAAACGACAGCACCACATGGACAAGGACAGGAGCAGCGCCAGGACTGTTCACCCCAAAGCCAGGAGCTAGGCACGCCTGACTGAACGCATATCCTTCCATCATCACAAAACTAGCTGCCCCAGTCAAGCAAGTCACGTCCAAGTGTCATCAAAACACTCCTTTCACAGCTAGGTCAGCCGAGGGCCCCAGCCTGGACCCTGCACCAGGAGCTGCCTACAACTGAGAGGAGCAGGGACTGAAACCGTGTTGTCTGCTGCCAAGGAAATATTCTCTAAAATAACGACTTGAAAGTCATCCGTCGGGGGTCAGTCTTCAAAATGCAAAACGGGTACACACGGTGCTGGCGGCCAGTTAACTAAGGATCTGAAGCCCTCGTGGGTCTGAGCGCAGGCAGGTCTTTTTACCCGTGTCGGCGGTATAAAATCTCAAGGACACGCAAGTTGCTCCTGTGAGACCTTGAGGCAACCTCACAGAAGTAATGTGGCATTTCCAGCCCTTTTACGCCTTCCGGCGACTGTGCCCACTGAAGAAAACCTGGGGTTCCTCACTGGAATAACCGCATCTTCACGTCATAGAAGGGCTTGTGGAAATTACCGGAAATGTGAACACACCTGAGTCTTCTGATTATTTAAATTCAAGTGGGAAAGGCGAGCTCCCAGACTTGGAGAGCAGCTCGCCGTCGCAGGCTGACGCCGCTTTTCCGAAGTCGGCTTTCATCTCAGAACCTCACACCTGACACGGCGGGGTGCAGACAGGCCGGGCAGCCCCGGCAAGCTTTCCTCCAGGTCAGCGGGCGGCGCCTGCGGGGGACACACACCGCGGGCCGGGCACCTCCAGGGGCCAGGCCCCGGCGCCCACGCGTGCGCACCCGCGCGCCCGGTGCACACGCACGCGCCTCGCAGCCGAGACGGGGCGGAGCGCAGCTCCCGGAAGCCGCGGCAACCTGTTGAGCGCCGTCTGCAGGAGGGTCGGGCGCGGCCCACTCACGCCGCTCCACTTTCCGCTGGCCTCGTCCCACGCGAGCTCCTCGAGCGCGCACGCCCGCGGCGCACGTGCTCGCCCTGTCCCGACCCCCGGCGAAGACGCCTCCAGCGCCGGGAACCGGGCGTGCAGCGGGGAGAAGCCCTGCCGAGCCGCCCCGGCTCACTTACCTCGCTTGCCCGCCCTCACGCGTCGGGCCGGGCCGAGCCGAGCGCACCGGCGTCCCCCACCTGACGCGCCCCGCGCAGCGCCCGCTAATATCATCCCGGCCGCTTCTCGCACCGCCTCCTCCCCGAGGCCAATCGCCGGCCAATCCCCCGCGAGGCCCCGCCCCCGCGCCCGGGCGCGGCATTCCCAGCCCCCGGCCCCTCCCGACCACGCCCCCGGCGGCCCCGCCCGCCCCGGACAGTCGGCTCCCACCCAGCAATCTCTCTAATTAGAAGTTCTCCCCGCAGCCCTTAAACAATGTACCGACCAGTCCCAACACGGCCCGCAATTCAAATGGCTTTGAGAACAAAGGGAGTCGTAGCTGTAGCAATTTCTCCTCTAATTTACAGAATGGCAGCACTTTCTCTCATTACACATGGTATTAAAAAAAATAATAACAAAAAAGACCTCTAGCGTGCATGCCATTTCACAAGCATATTAGCGGTTCTGTGGAAAAACACCAGACAAAGACCCTGCCGTCTACAACTAACAACAACAAAAGAAAATAAGAAACACTGTTTAAAAAAATATATATCAAACTTCCAAGTTGGGTCCCTCCAGCAGAACAAATGTTCCCCGACATGCAAGCTGTGGAAAGAGGGGATGTGGGGAGACCCCTCTTCTTACAGCTCACGTCATGACAGCAAAACAGGCCGCGTAATTCTTAGGAGTGGGAGAGACTGCTAATGGTTCACTCCAAAATCAGATGAGCAGCTACATCAGATGAGGCGATGCAAACAGGAAAATACAGAACGCCAGAAATGAGTTTGCTGGGTGCAAGGGCAGCTTTAATCAATCTGGCATCGTCACCCTAAACAACCGGAACATTCCTACAGCAGACAAGAGGTCAGCCTTTCCAACCAGTCCCAGTAGGTAAAAGTCATCAGAAAAGATCCCCAAAGCAAACTCCAACCGTCTCTGAGAGTAACTAACTACTTCAAGGAAGTACCGAGAAAGTTATTTATCAAGTGAGAGGCAGGCATGTATTTCTTCAGTTCACAGCAAAACCAGAGAACGCCCCAAACAAGAGGAGCCTGCCTCAGGAAGGAAGGGATGCGATCAGGCCTGTTTGCCCCAGAAAATTATGCAAGTCCATTCTCAAGTTTTAGGTATGAACCTCTTCGATACAGTTTTAGGTGCACAGTGGATTGAGGATGACTAAAACTATACCCAGAAAATATGTGCTTAGGAAAACAGAAACGTCAAAACACAGCCTCCTCGTATGCTGGCCAGCACTGGCTTGAACTGCACAGAATCTTCACCCGTTAAGAGGAAGTGCTGAACTCACAGATGAGTCTACTCGAAACATTTCTTTGTAAAGGTTGCAGGCAGCGAACCACAGAATGGGAAAAGAAAGTCAAAACCATCCAACACAAACTAGATCATACATCTTCTCTTTCAATGCATTTTTCCCAAAACCAGATTTCAGTATTTAAAAATTCTCAGGTAAGTGTGGCTTTCAGTCTCATTTTAGGCTCTAAAAGTTTTCTATTTTTAAGTGAAGGGAATCTTTAGGTGTTGACACTGTAGAAAACTTATGCTAGCATCTGATTTTCTTACAAAATGCCATTTTGTTTAGCAGCTAAGTTTGCCTGGTAGCTGAACACAATTTGAAATTTAGTTGGGGTAATTGTCTTAAAAGTAAATCTTTTTAAACAACAAAAAATCCCAAATTAAAACAAGTAGAAAGAAAAAAATGAAAATAAATGCTGATCTGTCTACCTAAGCTTAACATTTTAATGTCCTATAAGGAAAAATGAAATTTCTGAGTCTAAGTGGTTAAACTAATAGAATTGGGAGTCTGGGAAATAAAAATACAGAGGGAACTCACGCACAGTTTTTCTGCAGCTGAATCGATGATGGTGAGCGTGAAGAGACAGGGAGAAAGCGTCTTCAGAGAAAGAGTAACACCCCCAAACTCCTGTTCTATGAAATTTCCCACTGAGTCAAGGCTTAGAAATGGAAGTCTGACTTGGCTAAATTAACCTTTGTGTACACGGCAGAACACCTCCCTTTAGCCGTGAAGAACATTTAAAAGCTTTATGATGTTTTCAAATGCCTAAACTATTAGAATTCCTCAAAAAAAGTATTTTGCAGTTTAAAAATCCATGACAGCTGCCTTTGGAAAATAAACGACATAAGTAAATACACTGCAATGAAACAGACAGGAACAAAACTTTTTGCAAAGTACACCGAAGTGTTCTTGTAGAAGTTAACACCCAACAGCCAGGCTGCACGTTGTCAGCCTCGGCACTCACACAAACGCCTGGCATGTGCTTTAAAAGCCTGACTATGTGATTAAGCTGCAGGGCAAGTCTGTATGGCTCTCAGGAAAGAGTGACTTGCACAAACCCCTGTCTTGAGCGTCTCCTCCGCATCAGGGTCAGTCCTCACCAGCACACAGACTTTCATCTCACTGATTCTAGTACTCTTAGTGCAAGCTATTTACATAATTTCACTTCCATTTCTGGAGGCAGATTCAGTGTCCCTAGATCACAAGCACACTTTTTAAGAGCCCCTTTCCTTTGTCGGCAGGCTGTCCTGCTGAGCTCCTGCCTCTTCTCAAAGTAAACCCCCAGGGGCCACTATCAGTCCCACATGGGCGATGCCCCAAATTCACTGCCGTCACCCCAATCACCAACTTCAAGAACTACATATGTCTGAAAGCAAAGGCTCACAAAGGAGGGCAGTGGCTGTGGGCAGGAAAGTTAAGACAGACAGCTGGCGGCAGTGGGAAGGAGACTGTCGCACAGATCTGCACAAAGGCCGGCCCTGCGTGAATGCACAGAGCCCCATGGAAGCCCTGGCCTGGAGGGCAGAGGGAGCCGCAAAATCCCAACTCTAGAGCGCCTAGACCCAGACCTGGCAGGGGCAGGTAACCAAACTCCCCCTCTAAACCTGTGGGCCCCTCCCCCCAACAGAGCCAGCTACTTACCTAGTGACTTTGGACTGCCAAGTGCCAGAAAGGACCACTTTGTTCCTGGGTGTGGACTTAGTGGCACACCCTCCTTCTCATACTTCTTAAAGACCAACTTTGCACGGAAGTGGGGGGTGAGGGAGGCACCCCGCCAGGCTACCACAGGGAACAGCCAAACAAAGCAATTGCCAAGCAAGCCCTCCACTCTCCTCTGCCTCACCAGGACTGCCTCGCCCCCTCCAGGTGGGTTTGCTAATAAGGCACAACTCCAAAGTGCACTGGCTGTTGTGGGTCGCAGTCCCTCAACTGGGAATGCCCTCTTCAATACCTTCAAGAACCCTTCCCCCACCGTGCGCTTCCCAGACACAGTTTTGCTTCCTGGCTATCCTCATTCGTTTCCATGCAAGCTTGGATCCTGTTTTGCCATCTAACACAATTATCAGAGCGCTACTGAGAACGAAGCTGGAATTTCTGAGCTCACTGCAAACTTGGGTTATGTCTTTTCTTTGGCACCCCCCCCCTTTCACCTCCACTCAGCACTGCCAGTCTAGAATTAATGTAACCTTTCATGGAGTGGGAACAAAGTTTCAATCTTGTGCCCATCAGCAATGATTCTTAACCACTAAATGATGAAAATCTGTTCAAACAGGACCAACTTTAAAAGACAAATTCGAAGACAATACACTTTTTTTTTGTTGCAAACCTTACACCATTAATTTCACAGCCATTACAGGTAAATGTCATATCTATTTCAGGGACACTTTTCACTAGTTAGCTGTTGACAGCTTAACTGCTGCAGCTCTGCTTTATGCAAATGAAGACGGTGCTTTGCTCCCAGAGAAACTTCTCACCTGTTCTCTCCTCTGACTTTGCCATGACCGTGTGGACAGGGACACACACACTACCCCAGGTCCTAAAGAGAGGATGGGGAAAGGGCACAGGGGAGAAGTGGGATGCACTAAATATACAAGAACATGCACAGAGCAGTTAAAACTATATAGAATTTTTACAGAGGTGTGCACTAAAAGGATATGACTGTGTAAAAAACAGTCTCATTTTTACTGACGGCTATCCTCTGAAGTATTAATAAAAACAAATGATAGCATAACCTCACATTACAAATGGTTGATTCAATTATTGCCAAATCAGTAAAGCTGTTATTGGATTATTCTTTTGAATAGAAATACCACTTTTCCCCAACTAAAATTATAAATTAACTGTATGTCATACTAAAAGTGTCCCTTTTATGAGTAGCTGGCATGTTAGCTATCACAGTAAAAGAGAAATCCCACTGAAAGTAAAACATGAATGACCTTTTCTACTGTTATAGCATAAATGTGTGTGTGTGCACGTGCGTTCACATATATATAATTTTTCCTGGTAGTCATTACAAGAAGCTATAAAGCCTCTCAACACCCCCCTCCCCCCGTTTTTTGGGGGGTTGACCTCAGGGCCTCCACTCCCTAGGCAGACACTCACTTGAGCCATGAGAACCCACTTTACCACTAAGTCCTGTTGCAACTGTCCAGCCCCAGGACTCCCTAATTCACCACCCTTTGGCATCACCAACATCCACTGGTGTGGTGGCCGTGCCCACAGCCATGCCCAAGTCCTCCAATCCTGTGAGTGTGGCAGGTTACCTGACAAGAGAGAAAAAAGGCTGGAGAGGGAGTGAAGGTGCTCATCAGCTAACCCTGCTGACTAGGAGATGAGAGCACCCTAAGCTACCCAGCTAGGCTCAACACAATCCCACAAGGGTCCTTACCAGTGGGGAAGGCAGGAATAAGAGAGAACCTGAGACAGCAGCCATGGGGTGCTGGCACTGAGGACGGGGTAGGGATGATGAGTCAGGGGACAGGGCAGCCTTGAAAGCCTTTGGAAAAGGCAAGGTGGCTTCTCCCCAGAGGCTACAAAAAGGGAGGATGCCCTGTTAACACCCTGACATCAGCCCAACAAGGCTGATTTGGGAGTTCTGGCCTCTAGACACTACAATAAGGAATTTGTTTTAAGTCACTAAATTTTTGGTAATTAGTTACAG